TACTCCTGGAGCACCTAGCTTCCAAATACATCTGTGTGAGGTAATCCCTATACAACCAAGCTTAAAGCTCATGGGATATTATTTCTGTCCCACTTTCAATCCTGGAAAGTCATATTGAAACTACCCGGGGCATTTTTATTGTGCCTACTGGGGATGTGAGACTATATCAAACTACTGGGCCCCGGGAGGGGGAAAAGATAAATTTTTAACAGTGGCATGGGGACCGTTCGGATGCAAACCGCCACAGCTTGATAGGGTCTGGGAAATAATAGATAGAGGAAATTGTAAGTTTTTGTACTTAAACATCACAAATCCGGGGGATTTAGGATGGACTCTTGGGAAGATATGGGGAGTGAGGTACTGGGAACCAGGCCCTCGCTCAGACAGGGGAGGACACATCCTAATAAAAAAGGAACTAGTAATTAACAAACCCTCTGGCATTGGACCAAACCCGGCCATAGTTGAGAAAATGGAAGCAGGTACGAATCTAATTGCATCTACCCCTAGAATTATTTTGGCCAAGGATTCTATCCAGGACACCCAGGTAGAAGGAGGAGCTTTCACACCTACACCTAGAGTCAATCCTTTATGGAATATATTACAAGCTAGCTACCATGTGCTAAATTTTACCAACCCCAACATAATCGAGCACTGTTGGTTATGTTATGATATCAGACCACCTTTTTATGAAGCAACTGGGATTGCGAGTAAAGCTAAAAAAGTTAATGGTGCAAATCCAGCTCAATGCTCATGGGGTGAGGAAAACAGACAAGGATTGACGATGTTGCAGGTATCGGGAGTGGGGAGGTGTATAGATACCGTCCCCCCAAACAAACAACACCTGTGTGAAGTTCTTGAAAAAGACCCCAAAGGCCAAGGTAAGACGGCAGATTGGTTATTGCCGGCTAAGAATGCGAAATGGCTTTGCTCTCAGACAGGCATTACTCCTTGTGTGTCCCTGAAAATCTTTGATGGGACTGCTGAGTATTGTATACAGGTAATTATTGTACCGAGACTTATCTATCACCCTGAGAATTATGTATATGATTATCACTCCACTCAATCTCATAATTTACAAAAGTGTGAACCCTTCATGGCACTCACTGTGGCAACCCTTATGGCTATTGGGGCTGCTGGAGCTGGAACTGGAATAACTGCCCTCATACAGCAAAGCCACAGGTTTCAATTTCTGAGAGAAGCAGTAGATGAAGATTTGGCCAGAATACAAAAAAGCTATGACAGCCCTAGAACAATCTGTAAGATCCCTATCAGAAGTGGTGCTACAGAATAGATGGGGACTGGACTTAATGTTTCTACAACAGGGGGGGTTATGTGCTGCCTTGCAGGAGGAATGCTGTGTTTATGCAGATCATATGGGGGGAGTTAGGGATACTATGTCTGATCTGAGAGAAGGTCTAGAGAAACGCCAAAAGGAGCGAGACATGCAACAAAGTTGGTATGAATCCATGTTTCATTACTCCCCCTGGGTAACCACGTTATTATCCACGATTGCAGGACCCCTTATCCTCTTACTCGTAGGTTTAACTTTTGGGCCATGTATCTTTACTCGACTAATCACTGTTATAAAAGGGCGGTTGGAGGCTGCACATTTGATGTTCCTACACACACAATATCAACAAGTTGGGGAGGGAGAAAATGCTTTTCCTCTCCAACGGGCAAGAGAGATGTTAGAAAGATTTCACGAACAAAGTCAATAGGAAAAAAAAAAAAAAGGGGAGGATTGTGATAAATTGGCTGTCGCCTTCCTGCTTACACTTTGAAGGGATTTTAGTTGGGTTACGCTTTTGAGGTTTGCAAAGCACGACACTGATGTGTGATTTCTGTGTGTATCCTCACTCAGCTGCCAGGCGCCTTCGCGGCAACCATCAGGGCTCGATTAATGTTCCCTGGGACTACCGCAATGCCCTCTATGCCCCCCCCTTCCCCTGCTCCCCACGACCGGGTTGGGACGGGGGTTGTTTTAGGAGGACATTCTAGCCAGGAGCACTAGGATCTCCTGGTCGAAAACCGTTGCTGCTGTTTTGTCCCCGAGGCTAGGAGGACAATGGAGGGAGTTAGCCTCGGCTGCCGCAGCCCTGGTCAGCCTGAACCAATGTGCCCTAGGGGGGTGAAGGTACTCGGTTTGGACCGCGCTGTTCGGGCACACAAACTCCGGAAACTAGGGGGCTTCTGGACTCTGGGTTTCCACCGGACGGCTGTCAGAGATAATCCTAGAAGACACCCCGATAGCCCCCCGGGGGCATGAGGATTGTGATAAATTAGTTACATTTTAGTGGTATATCTGGCATAACCTTATCTTGTTAGTCCAGAACTAACAAAGAGTCAAACATGATAAAACGGGTGCTGATAAGACAGGAAGGAGGAAAATACCTTTAACTAAGCCTGCGCAAAACACGGGGTCATCTCGCTAACACAAGAGGAAGACCCAAAGCCTTCCTCGCAGAGACCACCGACCCAAAAGCGAGACTCCCAACTCACCAGACTACACATGCGCAAAAGACGCAACCCAAGACAACGTATGCAGAAACCAGACACAACGCATGCTCAAAAGATGCCACCCAGGACTACGTAGGCAGAGAACCAGGATATACAAAAAGGGGACTCTGGGGTTTGGGGAGCGCGAGCTACTCAGGAACCTTTTTGTTTCCGTGGTCGCCCCGGTGCACCGGCATTTCTTAACTACTGTTTGCTAATAAATTTACTTATTATTGTAAATTGGCCTCTTTAATTTATTTCAGGTATTGCTGGTAGTCTATAACAATCAGCCATAGGACAAGAGGGCACGGGCTTAAGCTCTGTCAGGGGACATTTAGGTTGGATATTAGAAAGAAGTTCTTTACAGAGAGAGTGATCAGGCATTGGAATGGCCTGCCCAGGGAGGTGGTGGATTCACCGTCCCTGGAGGTTTTTAAGAAGAGGCTGGATGTGGCACTGAGTGCCATGATCTAGTAATCAAAGTGGGTTTGGATCAAGGGTTGGACTTGATGATCTTGGAGGTATCTCCAACCCAGTTAATTCTATGATTCTATGATTGCCCAGAGAGGGTGTGGAGTTTCCCTCACTGGAGATATTCCAGAACTGTCTGGACACAATCCTGTGCCATGTGCTCTGGGATGACCCTGATTGAGCAGGGAGGTTGGACCAGATGACCCACTGTCATGGGTTTATGAGGCTGAGTTTTGATAGTGGGGGGGGCTATAGAGAGGTGGCTTCTGTTAGAAGCTGCTAGAAGTTTCCACTGTCCTATGAAAAGCCAATGATAACCAGCTCCAGGAGTGATTTTCTGCTGCTGGCCAAGGGTGAGCCAATGAGTGGGCTTCTGTGATAACATATTTAAGAACAGAGGAAGAGAGGAGTTGTGATGCAGAAGAAATTCCAGCATTCTAGTCTGGGAAGAGAGGAGTGAGAACAGGCCGGCACCAAGGTCAGTCCAGCGGGGGGCGGGGGTTGGGGCAGGGGGAAGGGGGGCTTTCCCCCTCCCCCAGGAGCAGGGGAGAGACTCAGAGCTGAGGACCCTGCAACCTGTGGAAGACCATTGGGGTGCAGAGACCCCCCATGCAGCCCATGCTGGAGCAGGTGGATGCATAAAGGAGGCTGGGATGGAGCTGGGTACCTGCTGGAGACCTGTGGCCCATGGAGAAAGAAGCCCATGCTGGAGCAAGTTTTTCCTGGGTAGGACTCATGGCCCTGTGGGGGACCCACGTCGATGCAGCTTATCTGTGAAGGACTGCATCCCCATGGAGAAGTGACTCACGGGACAGCAGATTTGGAAGAACTGCTGCCCGAGGGGTGAGTGGACTCACATTGGAGAGGTCCATGAAGGACTGTCTCCCGTGGGAGGGACCTCCATGGGAACAGGGGAAGGACTTAGAGCTGTGGTCTCCCTGTAGCCCGTGGTGAAGACCATAGTGACACAGGTGTCCCCCGTAGATTATGGAGGAGTGACCCACGGGACAGCAGAATGAGAAGAGCTGTTGCCCGAGGGATGGACTCAAACAACAACTGACCCCCACCCTTCCCTGTCCCTCTGCACTGCTGAAGGGGGAGGAGGGAGAGCATGGAAGGAAGGAGGAGTGAGGGGGGAAGGTGTTTCTAAGACTGTTTTATTTCTTGCTTTTTGGCTTTTATCTTGTTAGTAATAAATTGAAGTTCTACCCCCCCTTGGAGTCTGTTTTGCCTGTCAGTAAATGAGCCTCCCAGTTCTTATCTCTACTCAGGAATTCTGTAGCTGGTTTTGTTTTCTCTCCTCTGTGGAGTTGCAGGAGGGAGGGGGGGAAGGGGAGGAGGGGGGGTGTGGGGGTGTGGGGGTGTCATGTAGCGGCTTTTGGTGGGTATTTGAAATCTGGCCAGGGTCAAAACCACCGCACCCACTGTGGTCCCTTCCAACCTGGCCCATTCTGTGATTCAGTGGAGAGGGGTGGGTGTTCAGCAGCTCTAAAGATCAGTCTTTCATAATGACCATTCTACTTTAGAAACATTAAAAATATCCACAGCTGTGGAAAAAAACATCTAGACAAACACAAAAATATTTATATATAACTATTTATACATATATTATGTGTATATATATTTATTGATATATTTTTACTATTCAAGTAACAGTCAAATGCTACCTATCTAGTAAAGATAAAAATACAAAGAAATTAGGTAATAAAAATGAATTATTTCCAATTCTTAGTTAATCATGGCTGTTTGAGAGAGCAGGGCACTGAAATACTCTGCCTTCAAATAGTCTCAGAAGTTGCAATTGTACTTAATTCACTTTTGATGCCATGCAAGGCAAGGACTGGAAATCTATGACGTATGATTGAAACAGAGCACCTCTCTGTGGAGAAAAGTCAACACTTTACCTTGCAAAGTTTGTTGTGGATTTTTAACAGGGTATGGTGGTAATAGCTCATTTTCCTTGCTATTACCTGCGCAATGTAGAAAAGATGTGCAGAGGGGATTTCACCTTTTTGTCAGACTCCTTATTGTGTGTACAATTAGATTTCTCTTTGCTGTTCTTCCACTGTTGTGTAACAAATGTCTGCATGATTCTGCAAAATTAAGAAAGAAAAAAAGATTTTCTTATCCCAGCCAAGACATATTCACTTTAATACTAGCGTCACAGTTCACCACATAGGTCTCATGATGCAATGACCTCAGATAGAATTTCTCTGTCACATATATGGACTGATGATGGGGTGCTTCAGCTCCTCAAAAATGTGGGGGATTTTCTACATAGAACTAATTCACATGGAATTCTTCTTGAGAATACAGTGTGTGTAAGCAACAAGATATTTTAATAACATTGCTTCATTTGTATGACTACAAAAATGCTGCACTGTATTGCTTTAAACACCAAACAGCAAAAGACATTTTTTTTAAGGGATTCTTACTGTTGTAAGGGTCAGATATTAAAGTCTATATTCTTGTCACACATACACAAGTATATGTGAAAAGATGACTCAGCAACATGTTATTAAATTGAATTGTACCATGAACAGATGAAACTGCTAATTTTTTCAACTGTTCTTCCCTCTTGTCCTCAAAACGTGGATGGCCGAATGACTGTGGTACATCTTTGAGGCCACCGTGAAAGCATAGTCCCCTTAGGATATGAATGATGCTAAAAAAAAAGATTCTTACTCCAGAGGCTACACAATCAAAGTAAAAACATTAAATTGAACACTCCTAGTGACAGTCTTTTTTTTTTTACTTTTCTATCTTAGTTCCTAAAAGACAAAAAAGTGACAAAAAAAACTGTCAGGCACCACAAATCAAGTTCTCTCCATAAGGATCCTTGCACAGGAGTTAAAAGGTCTCATTGAGAGAGCTTTGAACTATATTTAAAAAGGGAAGGGGATAAAATCAGGATCACGGGAGATATGCCTGGGGGCGGCACACCACTGTTTGAGAGACACTGTGCTAGCTAGGTCCTTCAATCTGTTGTCTTGGTAGAGGTAGGGGATGAGGATCCATTCAACAGCAATTGATGTGCTAGAAACTGTTGAAGGACCTGAGAAGGCTCACTCAGGAACTGGAGCTTCTCCCCCTGAAAAGGTTGCTATCCCAACTGAAGTACGTTTACACCAATGCATTCAGCATGGGCAACAAACAGGAGGAACTGGAAGCCATGGTGCAGCAGGAAAACTATGACATAGTTGTCAGCAGAGATACATGGTGGGACAAGTCTCACAACAGCAGTGCTGCAATGGATGGCTATAAACTCCTCAGAAGGGATAGGCAAAAAAGGAGAGGTGGTAGGGTGGCCCTGTGTGTTAGAGACTGTCTCGATTGTCTAAAGATTAATGATGGTGATAGTATTGAATGCTTATGGGTAAGAATCAGGGGGAAGGACAACAGAGAAGATATCCTGGTGGGAGTCTGTTATAGACCACCCAACCAGGATGAAGAGGCAGATGAAATATTTTATAAGCAGCTGCGAGAAGTCTCACGATCTCCGGCCCTTGTTCTCGAGGATTACTTCAACTTACCAGATGTCTGCTGGAAATGGAACATAGTAGAGAGGAAGAAATCTAGGAGGTTCCTGAAGTGTGTAGAAGACAACTTCATGACACAGCTGGTGAGTGAGCCTACCAGGGGAGATGCCCTGCTGGACCTGCTGTTTGTAAACAGAGAAGGACTGGTGGGTGATGTGATGGTCGGAGGCCATCTTGGGCATAGTGATCACAAAATGATAGAGTTTACAATTCTCAGAGAAGTAAGGAGAGAGGTCAGTAGAAGTGCTAGCTTAGACTTTTGGAGGGCAGACTGGCCTGTTTAGGAAACTGCTTGAGAGAGTCCCTTGGGAGGCAGTCCTGAAGGGCAAAAGAGTCCAGGAAGGCTGAACGTGCTTTAAGAAGGAAATCTTAAAGGCACAGGAGGAGGCTGTCCCCATGTGCCAAAAGACTAGCCAGAGGGGAAGATCAGCCTGGCTGAATAGAGAGCTTTGTCTGGAACTCAGGGAAAAAAAGAGTGTTTCACCTTTTGGAAGAAG